CGTTTTTTAACCTTTTATGTTTATTTAATTTTTATGCATAATTCTAGTAAATATGAATTTATGAACTTTTATGGTAAATTGAAAAAAAAATAAAAAAAAATGTTATTTAGATCTAATTTGATGACATAATTCAATACACCCCTTTGATTGAAAGTAAACTTCATCTAACATTGAAATTTATAACTAAAATAACAGTTATATAGAATTAAGTCATTGGTAACATTGATAAAAAAAATAATTAAAATTTATTAATATTCCCACCCTAAAGTATTTTTCTAACTCCGCCCCTGGTGGGATTTTATTTTTGTGTGGGATGTATTGTGAGCTATTGGATTAAGTTTGATGAATTTAGATGAAATTTAGATCATGTAATTTAAAATGAATTCAATCTAAGTTGTTATTGTACTTTTTCAAATTTAAGATAAAGACGTATGAGAATTAAGAGTATAGAGTTTTACGATAAGAGACTTCTTCATGGGCGGGAAATAAATTCATAACTAACTGTAGACTGTTAGATCAAAAACTTTGAGATAATCTGAACCGTCTTTTATGTTAGGATACGTTGTTCATTGGATGTGTTTATGTTTTGTCTCAAAACGATCTGGAACTCTCTTTGTCTTTTGGATTCAAACTTCGTTTTACTTTATTATATAGATACACACCTTATATGTGTGTGTTATATACACCAACCAAAGTCATGCAGATCAAATCTCAACACAATACTTGAATTGTTGGGATCGATATAGAGTAAAGGTTGAGCTGATCAAATGAATTGACTTTCTCAAAATCACTTTTATATACATGGGTTTCGAAACACTAATATCCAGTCAAAAGTAGCGAGGCGAATCGCACCCCTAACAAAGGTGCGATGACCTATGGCGGAATTCAAACAAATTTCTTCGTTTAGTGTCGCACCCCAGATCGCGCAGGAATGCAACGCTTGTTATTCTCAACCCGCGGAAGCATTCACATGTAATAATGTAACCTAGTGTAACCTAGTAGACCAACCCACATAAGCAAACTTATGCACTTTGAATAAAAGCAGATACGGTACATAAATTACAGTCAACTTATCACATTTCTAATCACTTAGATACATAGCATCCACATCATAGTTAGACCTAAATCATTTACATGTTCATACATACTCACACATAAACTGTTTAAAAACACTGGCAGTTTAATTATACATAGATTTATCTGCCTCCGACCAAATCTGAAAAGGGAAAAACAATATAGGGTGAGTATCAACAACTCAATAGAATAATTTAATTCTAAAATACCAGTTTTAAAAAATATAGCTTAATATGATTGGGTAAATTAATGATCATTTGAATAATTTAATTAGTTTTATTCTATTTTTCAACCGCTTTTTTGTTCATTATACTCGTGTTTTACACAATATTTAAGTGGATTCAAAGTGAGAGTGCAAAGGACAAAGGAAATTTAAAAAAATAAATAATTCTTTCCTTTTTCCGATGTACTTTATCTTCATTTCCATGGCTCTAATTTTTCAAAAACAATTCTGACAACATCACAAGTGATAATAATTTATTGAAAATATTCAATATTTTTTTCTTGATTTACAGCACATGAGCACCGACTATGTTCTTTGGAACTGGAATACAAAGCACCATCTCTATCCATGCTCTGAAATGAATCCACAAGGTATATATGCTGAAGTTTGAATGCTTCATCATTGCACATTAGGGGGAACATGGCAAACTACATCATTGCTTCTAAGAAGCTCCAATCCCAATGCCTTTTAGTTAGCGACTAGAGAGAGAGAGAGAACATAGCAAACTCACCTTTTGAAGCAGAGCCCGCAACCACTAAACATGAGACCAAAGCATGAAGCTTGCTTTCCCAGAACATTTTGATAACTGGTTTTGCACGAACAATTTTGCATTCACATTAAGCAAGAAGTGGAAAGTCTGGGTGGAAATAACTAAAAAATAATGGCAATATTTCCCAGTGTATTGGATGATCGAAGTCAGAGAATGGAGACATCTGAGGAGTTGTAAGAAGAGAGAGAGAAGAGAAGAAGAAGGACAAAAGGGACGTAATGGGTGCCATGTTTTGGCTACCTCTCTCTCCCCACCTATGTGTGTGTGTGTTTGTGTGAAAGTCTATTGGTTTTTATGGGAGTCCCATAATTCTAAGGAAAATAGGTCAGAGGAAGTGGTTGTTGCTTATTAGTCAAGAGATATTGGCGTGCACANTTTTTATGGGAGTCCCATAATTCTAAGGAAAATAGGTCAGAGGAAGTGGTTGTTGCGTATTAGTCAAGAGATATTGGCGTGCACACTATGNGGTTTTTATGGGAGTCCCATAATTCTAAGGAAAATAGGTCAGAGGAAGTGGTTGTTGCTTATTAGTCAAGAGATATTGGCGTGCACGGCTAAGGCATTTTCATAATTGCAATTTGCTTCTATCTCATTGGGGGATGTGAATGGAAGTAGTGATCTTGTTTGGTTTCAAAGGACATTATGCTGTTGGTGACACACAATCTAGTGTTGAAAAGATCAAACAATGGGTCATAGTCATAAGAGCAACGTTAAATGGATCTAATTTAAATTTTTCATTGGACATCTAATTCATTAACTCACTTTTAATTCAACAGTTATAGATAATTAGATTCTCATATTAAGTATAAACATCATTTTTCGAGTCAAAAAGATGTAAATGAAGCAACCAACTGTAGTTGATTTTTGGAATAATTATAATATGTTCCCTAAAGTTTGTCCAATTTGATAGCAAGGGGACTCCCTTAATTGTGTGTGACAAATTAGTATGATTAGAATGAGTCCATAAATGCTTCTTGAACATTATGTCATATAGAATGCCAACAAGGCATATAGGGGTAAAGAAGTCTTGTACATCCACCCAAGGGTGAAAACACGAGAGGGTGGAAAGTGGGTATTTTAACTTTGAAAAATGAAATTTGGGTTATCTACTGTCCAAAAAGAGGGGTAAATTATGCTTTGTAACCGTAAATTATAATCTATCATTTGAACTTATGGTCTAATGGTAAGTTGTACCTGGTTAAAAACCTCTCTGACTCTCATATACGTTACCAAGTAGAGTTCGATTCACGATAACAACGTAGTTTGCGTCTGATGTTTGTGGTACTGTAGTGATTGACTGTCGTTCCGAGGTTAATAGCTGTGATTTAAATCGGACATTTCACAGTGAGAAACTTTTGTGGTAATGTTCAGTGAGATTATTACTTACTAGTCGACTCTCTCCCTTTTAAATCAGCAAAAAAAATCACAAACTATAATCTTGATCTCATTTTACATTTTCCTTAAAAACTAAGCGCCCATCATATTTTCAAAGCAAAAAATTCACGACAAAATAAAGCAAAGTCACCTAGCTTAGTAGACCAAGTGATACGAATTTCCTTTTATAGGAAATGAAAATCTAAGTAGGCGTACTAAGTGGGATTGAAATTTGTGGCTCAAAGAGCCTTATTTAAGCAAATATTGGTGGTAAAGGCTAGGTGGGATAGCTTTGTTTGCATTCGAATCAAGCAATAATCAGTGCATTTCGTTCAGTATAAGGTAAGATAAAATTTGGGAGTTGACTACTATACTGACAAAAAAAAAAANGTTCAGTATAAGGTAAGATAAAATTTGGGAGTTGACTACTATACCGACAAAAAAAAATATGGTATTGTACCTCTAAAATTTATTTTTTTAATTGGTGATTTTATTTTATAATTTTTATATGTCACTTTACAACCAAAAAATTTATCATTTTTGTGGATGATTTACCATTTTTATGTATATATTTACCATTATTGAGAATGTTTTGTCGTTATTGTAATAGCTATTTTTATCATTTTTTTTTTACAAAAAAAATTATCACTTTTATAGATAATTTAACATATTTACAGGTATTTTTATCACTGTTGTGAGTATTTTTATCACTGTTATGATAACTATTTTTTATAATTTTTTTGAGTATCATAACAGTGANAAAATTATCACTTTTATAGATAATTTAACATATTTACAGGTGTTTTTATCACTGTTGTGAGTATTTTTATCACTGTTATGATAACTATTTTTTATAATTCTTTTGAGTATCGTAACAGTGATAAAAATAATCACGACAATATAAAAATAACCACAAATATAATAAATGAAAGTATAAAGACATAGACAAGTTCTAACCACAAATTTTAGAACTTGTCTATGGTATTTTTTTTTTTTGTTGCAACTCAGTCAACTGTTTGATTATCCTATTAAAATATTTCTTTCCGTACTCTATTTTTACTTTTTTTTTCTATAGAATCGAACCACGTATCAAGATAGTTCATTTTATTATTTTTATATTTTATGATTCATTGAATTAATAGTTACAGCTAATCCAATCAATGGTCCGGATCGGATTTCTCCTTCGGTCACCATTTATTGAATGTATCTGGCTAATAATCCAATCTGGGTTGACGCCAAACAGGGTAAGCCTAACTCCCAATGTGTCCATAGATGAAAAATGCTAACCAAATTTCAAGTTGTTAAAAGACAAAATTCAAACAAGTACCTTGGTAAAGAGGACCATAGCTGCGATCATTTTTCTCACGAGACTACAGTAAGGTCACCTGCCGTTCCAGGTCATCATAAATTTTTTATAAGAGAGAGGACAATGAGTGGTTGAAACTCAAGCAAGCTAAAGGCTTTATCCCCATTCAATTGCTTTACATCTTATGTACCACATGGATTATGGAATACACTAAGGTAATCCATCCCCATACCCCAACTCTCTTTCATGTTTGATGGTGATGGGGGAGGGCAAAAGAATGCATTCTTTTCTGAACGTTGGAATAGCCAGATTGTGTGGACTAAGAACCACCAATGCGCTTGAGTCATTAATACTAGGCCACTCTCTCACTTCAGTTAATAGATTGTGTCATATTTAGCTCATAACATGTCTTATTTACTCCTTTCGTCCTTATATACAGTCGAGTTTTTATCAAACTGAATTTATTTTTAACCCATGAAGTCTAAATTTGGACCATCTTCCATGGTGAATTGTGTTAAGAATTACCAACCCTATACATGTACAAGTGCACCAAGCAAAGGGGGAAGGGGGTCCATAGAGACAATTAGAAAAAGGAGACAACAACATGAAGTGGATTCAAGTTAAAAAGAGTGCCAAGGACAACAAAAGAAACACAAAAAGCTTTCTTTTCCATGGAGACTTGATCTACATTTCCATGGCTATCAAGTCCTCTCACGTCCCCTCCATATCTTTGAAGATAATTGAGATAGTGAGAGAACTAAAGACTCCATTCAGTCACACACCCACAACACAAACTTTTCCCCCCATTATTCCTTCTGTTAAAATACCACTCCTCCTCTCAAAATCTTCTGGCCAAAACCATGAAGAAATAAGAGAAAAGGACTCTTTTAGACATATCATCATTCATGCGAACTGCTCCTGAATGAACCAAGAGCTTTAAATGCTCCAGCTCTCAGTATAAACTGGTGGTAGAATGCTGCAATGGCGGCACCAACAAAGGGTCCAACCCAGAAGATCCACTAAAAAAAAAAAAATTAGAAATATAAAATATTAGGCAGGGATAAATAACATGTGAAAATGATAATCCAAAAACTTTAAAAAAAAAGACCAAATGATTTTTATTTTTTTGTGGCGTTTTCTAATTAGTCTAGCATTACTCAGTTGAGAATATACTGACATGGTTATCCCAAGCCTTGTCCTGGTCGTAGATCACGGCGGGTCCGAGACTCCTAGCTGGGTTGATGCCGGTGCCGGTGATTGGGATGGTGGCCAAGTGAACCATGAACACTGCAAATCCAATTGGTAGAGGTGCCAACACCTTGAAACCAAAATCACAAAACAGAGTGTTATTTTCCTCTTTGTGTAAAAGGGCCAAAATATTTTAATTTCAACAAACTCGACTAAACGTTATATCCCGAATTTGAGTAAAACTGTCCATCACTCCACGCAAATAACATTTTTTTACTAAACATTATCATAATATTTAAAGAAAAAGTGTGTTTTTTTTCTTCAAAAGTACATGAATATATGAGTATTGAAGTTAAAAGTGATCACCCTTTAACAGAAAAAAAACAATATATATTACAAAAATAGTGAAGGCAGAATACTTTTTTATTATTTGTAATTGAACATGACAAATTAGAGAGATTTTAGAATCTCCCTCTGACGTTACTACACTTTCATCCCACATCAACCTCAGCCTGCAATTTGGAGTTTTGTCAACTTGAGCTAAATGTTTTTATCACCAAACAATATCGTTCGTATCTTGAAAAAGATTATTCCCACCAACTTTTCCTTATCAACTCAAGTAGGTTGATAACTTCCACCAACTTTTCCACTAACATCTAATAACTATAATTTCACTGCTCTTAAAAAAAAATTGATCAAATTGCATATCATCGGCTGAAATCTACCGAAATATTAATATATATTCCGTCCAATAACATTTTCCTCAATTTTTTAATGATGGAGTCGTACATACATAACATTGGATAACCATTAGGGTCAGTTTGGTTAGGAAGTAGGAAGAAAAAAAAAATGTGATGAAAATTGAAAGTGAAAGGAGAGTGATGGAAAAGAAAAAAAAAATAATAAAAAATAAATTTTCATGCACATATTTGGTTAGAATAAAAAATTGAGAAAAATCAAACTATATAATTAATTAAATTTATACCAAAGTTTTTTAATATTAATAACAATAAAATATTTTTAAAAAATAAGAGTAAAATAAAAAGTTAATTATAAATAACAAATTTTTTGTATTTTCTTGTATTTTTATTAAAAAAATAATTATTTATGAGAAAATTTAAGCATGAACAAAAATTATTTTCTCAATTATTTCCCTCCACATACTAACAAAACAAATGAAAATTTTAAAAAAATTGTTATATTTTCTGCCTCTCTCTCACTAACACACAAATCCTTAGGATTATTAATGTGGTAGAAATCAGACATTCAGACACAACCCACATGTTAAGGTTAGTAATACAGAAGTGGAGAAATGATGGGGGGCTTACAGGGACATGGGAGTCTCTTGCACTCCTCTTCGGATCAGTGGCGGAGAACACGGTGTAGACAAGAACGAACGTCCCGATGATCTCCGCCGCCAACCCAACGCCAACGCTGTACCCGGGGGCGAGCTCGTTGGCTCCGCCGCCGAACCTGGTGTAGTAAGCCTTCTGAAACGCCTTCACGAGCCCAACACCACATATGGCCCCTAAACACTGAGCCACCATGTACATCACCGCTCGGATTAAAGACACCTTACGAGCCAGGAATAGCCCGAATGTCACTGCTGGGTTTATGTGACCCCCTACACACAATAAACAAAACATCATTGTAAATTTAACTGCATCTACCTCAAAAGAACCCCCAGAAAAAAAAAATTGCAAATTAAAAATAAAAAATAATAATTTTCTCTTTCAATACCCTTAGAAGAAAAACAAACATAACTAATTACCAAATAAAATTTAACTCTTCTACTATAAAATGATATAATTTTACAGAAAGATTCTCTGTTTTTTGTTTTTTTCTTTTTATTTTTGGGAAAATGTCTAAGTAAGTCTGCTTAAAGTGCTTGAACTCTTTTTCTTTTTGGGAAAATGTCTAAGTAAGTCTGCTCAAAGTGCTTGAATTTTCTGCTGTTTGTCAAAACAAATAAAAAATTCAAGAACAACAAAAAAAACTTATCTTTAGATGATGTGTTTCTGACTCTTTGCTAATATAAAAAATTCAGAACTTTCTGCATGATTTTCTTGTGTAAATTTTCCGAGAAAGCTGAGAAAGAAAAAAAGAAAACCCACCAGAAATACCAGCAGTACAGTAGACAAGAACGAAGATCATTCCACCAAAGGCCCAAGCAATACCAAGAATTCCCACGCCATCGCATGGATCGGAGCCATCCGGAACAGTCTTGCTCTTGTACCCGATCACAGTTAAGACTGTAATATAAAGGAAGAGAAGGGTGGCTATGAACTCAGCAATCAGAGCTCTGTAAAAAGACCACTTGGTCAGCTCCTTCGGGTCTATGAGTGGTGCTGGTGGTGGGTCTTGGTAGTCCTTGCCTGAGAATGAGCCGTGCTCCGCCACACCTACTTCCTTGGCCATCTTTCACAACCTAGAAAGAGATAGTGAGGGTTGAGGAAAAAGCTGAATAGAGAGAGAGAGAGAAGGCTGTGACGGCAAGAGTGTTGGTAGTGGAAATGAGCGTGAGAGGGAGGTGGGATATATAGGGTTGGCATACCTATGGAGAAAGTTAAAATTGATCTAACATATATCATTATATCACATTTGAAATTTGATATGTGAGTAGAAAGTTAAAATTGATCTCAAGTTTTAAAAAAAAAAACTCTATTGAGTTACACTAATGTCCAAATGTGGCTAATACGAAAGATCGGAATGTCGCAAATGATAAAACACTATAATCAACGTATAAAAAATAAAATTTCACACGAAAATAATATATCACATACCTATTAAATAAATAGATCAATAAAAATTTAATAAAACACGATACAAATTAAATTAAACATGACATACAAATCATTTAAAAAAATAAACACAACATGAATATATTTATATATTGAAATATAAATAGGCATGATATAAATTCAATAAATTTTGATATATTGCAAGTTAGATATGATATGAAATATGAATTCAATACGATCCATTATAAAACTAAGTAGTGGAGGGAAATTGGAAAGTTTGGCAATTCTATGCAAAAATTGTGAACCACAGAAGAAATTAATCAGGTATATGGGGTTCGGGTATAATAAATAAGTGAATTTGATAAACACTTTAAATAAGTGAGTCAACACAGCCAACGTANGGGGTTCGGGTATAATAAACAAGTGAATTTGATAAACACTTTAAATAAGTGAGTCAACACAGCCCACGAAAATGAAACATAAACTTCACTAACCACAGCTTATACACAATACATAATTGAGACATCGTTAATTTAATTATGCGTGATTATAAATAACAAATACAAATCAAACAAATTTAAACATTATACGACACATTGAGTGTATATGGAGAGAGATTAGGTGATGTTTACTTTATGTGGAATTGGCATAATATCAATAAGTATAATTTAAATTTTTATGGACGGTTCAGGAATCAAGTCTATTATTTTATAAGTAATTTCGGGTTCAATATTTCCTATCCTTCCTAATAGTCCATCACCCTTGTTTTTTAAGAGACATATCCTTAAACTAACTCAAATTATAATGATGAATCTTATAACTTAAGGAAGTAGTTCCTACAAGCCTCACCTTGTCGCCAAAAAAACAAATGTAATTTGCCGTCCAGAACAGCACTGATAGTGATCCAATTCGCTTTCACCGACCCACCGGAAAGTGCCCCACCACCTTCCACATTTCTCTTTTTAATTTAACAGCTAGCTTTGTGCAACCCACATTCTTATTCACCTATTAACACTTTTGTGTAGGTAACTCTGTAAGTGCCATGTGCTTGCTTACACTTTTTGCAATATAGGAAATACTTGGCATTCAATTATACGTGTTGTAGTTGTCTATGTATTTGTTGACAAGGGTCCAAACTCTTTTATCATTTGACAAGTAAACAAAATTCTTTGGTAAGTAGTGAGTGGTATGTAAAATTCCTAAGAGAGGATAGCATTTTTTTTACACGACTTGTTAGTACAATACTAATTTGAGACAGTATTAGTTCAAAATTAACAAATGATATACAGATTGAATTAGTTTAGCTAATTTTGGCATAACAAACTCATTTATGATGTGAAAGTACAATGCTCATCTAAAATGATTTTGAATGTGGCATGACTTGAACACGACACTTTAATATAATTTTTTTGTTTTTTTTTTTTAAATGATGGGAGAAATCTTTGGCTTATTCTTGACGAAATAGAAACGACTTATTCGCTCAGGTTCTTGAGTTTGAATAGATACTAGGGTAAATTTCAGATGCATGAACTAGTTCTTTAATTTATACATTAATTAAATTAAAACTTGAATTTTAATGGAAATTCAAACTCATATCAAATATTTCGATATAGTTTGTTCTTCTGAGGCATAAACTTGGATTTGTGTAATCTCCCTTAGTTCATTCACAAATGGCAAGCCAAGAGAGTCGAACCTAAAACTGTAATTACTCTTAGAATCTTTCTATTCGAACTAATCCAAAGAGGGTTTTTTTAATGATCTTTTTGGCCTTTTTCTCCACAAATGTAAACTTCCACTTGTGAGTGGATCGATTGTTTTGCATTGTAATAGGGATTGGTTTGGCTCCATCACTAGCAGGGCAGCCTCATCAGTACTTGATAGCATTTAATAGTTCTGCACAGAAACTCAGTATTTGCTTTAAATATATAGACAAAGGCCTCAGTTGGTAGATCCTGGAAGTTCCACTTTAGCTTTAGGCTTTGGACTCGATCAATAAAATGACATACGAATTCTGATTGGAACATGACTATACGGGTGAGATTCCTTGGTATTATATATATTTTTTTAAGTCAAATATGCAATACCATGTTATTATTTTATTATTAATTATTACAAATTACCAAAAATATGATCTATGATCGANACTATACGGGTGAGATTCCTTGGTATTATATATATTTTTTTAAGTCAAATATGCAACACCATGTTATTATTTTATTATTAATTATTACAAATTACCAAAAATATGATCTATGATCGAAAATTATTTTTCGATTCCATACCCGAAATAAACAGTGGGTACTAAAGGTTTTATCAATGACTATCCAAGTTTCAAATTAAGGCAACTGCTTTTGATGTTGATCAGCTAAGGTTCAAAATATTTCTTCAACTGGGACAACAGCGTTGATTAGGGCAAGAGCTTGGACCATTACTGGAACAAATTTCCCAAGTGATGTAATCCCACTAAGACGAAGAGGTGCAACATTTGAACAAGGCAAAGAAAAGGGTTCAAGGGGGCATTTAAGATATGAAATCTTCAACTCGTGACAACATGGCTCGATCTTCCACCCGAATATTATGTACGGATATATGTCTGAATTTGAATTTAATACTCAGATTAAATTATTTTAAGTTCATAGTAAAATTTGCTATGACACCATAATCATGAATAATTGCATAATATTTAGTCTTGTCAAGTGGTTTGAATGAAAATTCTTGATCCTAGGTGGAATCTTTAATTTATTGGGTGAGTAAGATTTTTGATCAATTGTGATGTACACCCAAATTTGTTTTGTATAGCTATCCGGGATATAAATTAGAGTTGTTAATCAAATTGACTTATTCGAGTACGGCTCAAGTTTAACTCGTTTTTTACTTATTCAAGTTCGATCCGTTTTTTAAATGAGTCGAACTTTAACAATTTTTTAAGTTCGTCTAAAAACGAATCCGACAGACTCAGCTCAAATTTCAAAGGCTCGACTCGTTTTAGGCTCAAACTTGAATAATTTTGTAGGTTTGATGAAGAAAATGAGTTTTTTAGACTCGACTCGAACTCGTTCGAATATCAATCCTAATTACAATATCATTGTGGTATTATATCAAAATTAATATGTAATTATTAATTTTAGTTTTGATTTATAATCATTGATTGAAAATAAAATAAAAAATTATATTTGGGTAAAAATAGACTTATAATATTAAAAAATATTTTTCGTGGTTAGACTTTTTTTAAAGAGTAATGTTATTGGAACCTAATTTATTGATATAATTTGTTGACTTAATTCACTATNTTTTTCGTGGTTAGACTTTTTTTAAAGAGTAATGTTATTGGAACCTAATTTATTGACTTAATTCACTATGACAATTGAATTTACTATAACTCCGTCAAACATTAAAATTTAGTATTAATCTAATGATATTTATGAAATTATATTATTATATTAATAAATTAAATCAAAATTTTAAATTAAAACAGTATTTCTCTTATTTAAAAAGAAAGGAATGGAATGCAGTAAAGACAAGGGACCAAGAATCCATGGCATCATNGATATTTATGAAATTATATTATTATATTAATAAATTAAATCAAAATTTTAAATTAAAATAGTATTTCTCTTATTTAAAAAGAAAGGAATGGAATGCAGTAAAGACAAGGGACCAAGAATCCATGGCATCATCACAAACATGTGGAAATCACTTAGGTTCAGGTCTGTGTCCACTGCCTTACGTGTTAAGCTTTTATAGGCTCTGACATATGATAGGGACTCAGGTCCTTCTAGAGGACACGTGGTAGGTTCTCAACCATTTGTTTAGTGGACCCTCAGATAGGTCTAAATGTTTCGGCGGAAAATAAGAGCACGTGGATTGGGTACACGGCTTCTGATCAATTGGCGGTTTTACTGACAGCAATAGGAGCCTTTGGATGTGAACAATGTGCGTCCCAAATCATCACCATATCTCTTCCATTGGATAGAAGTGTTTCGACGGCGGCTCATAAGAAAGTATTGTCACATAATTTAAATAAATTTTAAAAAATTATAACTTTAATACATATTAATTTTTAGATGAATTTAAGAAATGATATATATATTTAAATTACAATGTTTGAATTTTTTTGAAATTGTGTAACATTTTTTGATCCAAAACTTGTAGTGTCCAAATTAGATGATTTTTTTTTATTCAACGGTTAATATTATTCAGGTCAATTTATGCGCACTTTGATTAATTCTCTCTCAAGTTCAGTTAAAAGCAGACTATCTATACCGGGACTAAAATATTTATGAAAAATAAATCTCTCATGACTTGATTTAAAGAAGTTGTTAAAATTTGANAAATTTTAATACATAAAACAAAAATTTTAATAGAGTTAAATTTTAATACTTAAAAAATAAAATTTAATCAACTCAAATCGAATTTTACTCGGCTCAAAATTTTAATGTTTACAAAAAATAAATTTTAATCAGCTCAAATTTTAATTTGAAGAAAAATAAATTTTAATCGACTCAATTTTAATTGAATTTTATGTATAAAGATTATTTTGAGTTTATATAAGGATGAATTGTTTTTGTTAAAAACGGTAGTTTAATTACAGGAGTGACAGTAATGTTTCAATATAAAATAGAAAGGTTGACAACTATATTTAAAATAATAAAAAAGGTGTTCTTAAACATATAATAAATTAAAAAAATGTGATTGAATTATTTTTTTTTTTTTTTAGTTTGGGTTGGACCACTATTGATCCCACCGACCCTTTTCTCGTATTAAAAGAAAGGATTGGAATGTTTTGAGAGAG